GGGAGTGCGCTCCCTGGAACAAAGGTGTTTGGAACCATCCAAATTTCACATGAGTGGAGTGAGTATGATACAAATTTACAGACATGTTCCAACGGAGGATGTGGCTAAAATGTTTCTCCTGAGCTTCCAGGCTTCTACCCCGGAATGACTTAAATACGAGGGAGACTCTGACTCCCTGTTTACTGCTCTGAGTCGACTCTCACCGGGCTGAAATTAGCTCTTAAGTCACTGGGTTTTACGCTGCTGCTGTGCGCTGGTCCCTTGTGACTGCACCTCTAGACTCGCTCTTATACCTGCTGATTAACTGACTATCTGCCAGGTCACACTGCCATGGAACACCTTCAAATCTCAGGGAGTTCGTCAGCTCTCTAAGTCACTCCCTCCATCCTAGATTTTATGCCTAAACTCTTCTATTTCCTTTTGTACAATCGGAGTTGAGTCACCCCAAATGGATGAACACCTCTCTGGGGTTAACCTGTGCCTCTCAGGACTCTGACTGTGTGACAAGCCCAGGCGAGCCCCGGATTAATTCCCTGGCAGGAGACTTTCCGTACGTGCAGTCAGGATCGATTTTCCACCTCACGCCAGATATTTCACACCTCACGCTTTATCCTGCCACCATTTGGAAGTTAGGAAAACAGAATGAGCACCATAGTTCCCCCACCTCTCCTTTTGACTTATTTTCAGGATGTTTTGCTAATTGTACACTTCCTTGGGTTAAGGTGCAGAGCTCCAGAACACAACCTTCGTCCGGAGAAATTCTTTGGTCCTCGCCCGAATCACCCCTTCTGGCACTGTACTGCTTTCAACGGGACCATGTCTTGTTTTCCCTGCTATGTAGTAAGGGACAAAAGTCACCATCGTTGTTTTTAAATATCATTTGCCCCAGTGCCCAGCACAGAGGGGCACCGGTTAGGGAGCCCATTCTCCTCACTCCTCTAGAGTCATCTGAGCTGATAAAAAGTGGACTCACGATGTTACTGACAGATACATAAGGAAAGAAGCATGCTTTTGGGTATGGAAGAAGCCACTAGAATTTTTCTTGGTTGAAGTAAAATTAATTTACAGAAGATAACAGTTAACCCCTGTTGAGAGTTTTATTACAGGCTAGAATAACTATTCTAAGAGGTCTGTATGTATTAACTCATTTAATTCTTGAGACAGCCATCTGGGCAGGTACTGTTATCATCATATTCACAGATGAGGAGGCTGAGGCACAGAGAAATGAACTTGCCCCAGGCCACATCTTGTCGAGTGTTGTCTGGCATGCAGCCCGGCCTCCAGAACCTGAACAAGGCTGTGGGATGTTTTCTTTTCTCACTTATTGAAGTTTTAGTGCAACAGCTACTGACCTTTAATCCCTTAAGCCTCACTTTCAGCTATTAAAATTCTCAAAAGTATGGAAGAATCCCTCACCATCTTTTCTTTTGTAGATAGATATTAATGGTTAATATTAAACATTTGAGAAAAGCAAATAGGGTGTTGAGGATTTAAAAAGTCAAACAAAACTCATTGTTCTGCAGCTACCAGGAATAAAACACAGGGCGGCTTTTCATTTCATAGTCGTTTTTGTAATTACTTTGCTGCCGTCTAGTGAACCAAATGAAAATTTTAAAATATTTTGCTGCCATCTAGTGACCCAAATGAAAATAACATGCAAACACGATTTTGCCTTCTTATTTGTGCTCAAAGTCTCTTAAGCGTTACCTTGGGAGTAGTTTAAAAAGAAAAGTCATTCAATTTTCATATATTATCTGAAAATCTTACAAATATGACATTTACAGTTATCATTCTTCTTTTATTCACCTCTTCTCATTCTTCCTCTGCTAAAATAATATATTTTGCTCCCATCCAGAATTACCCTTTAATATCAAACAAGAAGGCATTAGAAGAGAAACTAAAATCTAATTAATTTTTTTAAGGGTGGTCTCTGATGTGGTTTTGTATCATATGCATTTCTTTCAGAACAATTTTACTTGTGCCAATTCTTATTTGAATAATCGACATACTAGTTTTTCATGTTAGAGCTTGTTTATAGTTGATCAATTTCACCCATTTTTATTTAATTATATAATTGATTACAGTTAGACACTGAAATCTGCAGCTTTACGTGTTCTATGTAGAATACTTCCCATTCATCTACATAAATATTCACTGATTGCACATAAAGAATTTCAATTCGGTGGTCCTGAATTTTTACCTTTTCATAAATATGTTGCATCTCCCCATTAAAAGGGTCGAGCTTGTAATATATTTGCTCTCTCAAAACCTAACAGTGCCCTGTGTTCAGTAAATTCATGTTGGTGATGCCCCATTCGTAGACTTTAAAGATATAATCATCTGAATATTATGACACACTTAATTCAAATTAGCTTCTGCCCTGTGTTTAAATTTTAAAATATCTTCAATGATATAACCTGAAGAACAAAAGTGGGCAGATGCTGAAACATTTTCACCCCACAGCTCCTGGCCACATCCTCTCTGTAGGCTGTGTATGCCCGAAACGCATGGTCAGGAAAATGATCCCCTCACTGAATAAGGGCACAAGTGTGGTTTCAATATGCTGATGGACATTTATAATAACTTTATGTGCAGGAAGAAGTTGGGAGGAAGTTTTAAATTGGGTGATAACTGTGAGCATTGGCAATGGCTTGGATTGGGGGAAAATATCTTCTCCTGGAAAACTACCACCTGAAGCTAAGGAGATCATTTTCCAAGGAGATCTGAACTAAATAAGAGGAGCTAAAACCAGTATTAGTCTTAATCACATAGAGTAATGCATTGTTGAAAAAGATGAGAATGTCCTGGGTTCACCTATGTTCATGACATCACTCATTCACCAAGTATTTATTGAGCACTTACTAAGTGCCAGGCACCAGTCCTAGGCAATAAGGGGAATGTCAGTGGACAAGACTCATACCCGGGCCCTTACAGACATCGCACTCTAGGGAGAGACAGCCTCCCTTGATTGGACATCTTCCCTTAAAACAGTCCCGGCCTTGTTCAGCCAGTGTCCTGGAATGAGCGCCATTGCAGCTGGCGTGAGGTTATGTGTTCCTCCCCCACAGAGAGTGTATGTTGGGTACATTTTCCGTGCTCTGAGCATTCCGGAGTGAGCACCCTGAGCCTCAGCTGGTGTATTACCACTAATTGACGAACGCTCCAGGCCTCTAATAACAAGGGATTTAATTAGCACATCCAGTTTGCACTGACCAACCTGGTTTTACTTCACCCAAGTGGTAATCTATTAAATAACCACAGCCTGCTAGGACCCCATCACGTGGCCACTTCCGGTGTGGCAGGACTCTCCTGACCTGACGCCGTTTCCATTCCTTTGAGGAGTGACATTGCTGCTGCCGTTCTCTCTAAAGGAAGTTAACTTATTCGCCAGTGATGAAAGACACATCACAGCCGATAACTGCAAAATGGACTTTATGTCTAAAGATAGCGAATGTTTTGAAGCCTTAACATATGGAGTTTTGCAGTGTTAGGCCAGTGTCATCCTGATGCACGTTTAAAAAAATAAGAACTTAAAAGCTGCAGTCTAACTTGATTCCGTGACCCTAAGTAGCAATCATGGTACCGATATGGATCCCAGAATCCTGAATCAACTTTAAGGCCTCTGAAAACTAGTCCCCGCTCTCAAATATAGGGCCACACAGTCCTTGTCTTGCGTGCAGGTTCCTCAGAAGGCCCTTGCTAGTTGCCTTAGCCTCTGGTGAGGAACGTGGCACCCCATCAAACTCAGAGCCTGAGTCCATTATTGCCACCCTTCAGTCATAAAAACAAACTTGCAAAGTTTGCCATTGTTAGTTTTACTCCATTTTTGTCATTTATAACCCCCTTTTTGTTTTTTTCATTAAAAAACCCAACACTCCCGCCGGCCTGGTGGTGTAGTGGTTAAGTTCGTGCACTCTGCTTTGGTGGCCCAGGGTTCACCACTTCGGATCCCGGGTGCGGACCTATGCACCACTCATCAAGCCATGCTGTGGCAGGAGTCCCACATAAAATGCAGGAAGATAGGCGCAGATGTTAGCTCAGCGACAATCTTCCTCAAGCAGAAAGAGGAGGATTGGCCAAAGATGTCCGCTCAAGGCCAATCTTCCTCACACACAGAAAAAAACAAAAAAATAAAACCCAACACTCAACTTTTTGCATTCATGTCTTTATTAGTTTTGATGATCAGTACAGCTGGTTTTATTTCAAGGACAGTCATTCACTCCTGTGTGTTCTAGGAATCATTAATTCCACCCTCAAATTGGAAAGATATCAGAGGCAGTTTTTATTGTAATAAGCATGCAAAGATAAAAGTAGTAAAATTAAAAATAAATGGCCCTCCTTCAGGTAAAGAAAAATATTAGGATAAAGTCAATCATCTTTATGAAGAAGAAATTCAAATACTGGGTCAATTTTTTTTAAACTCCTAGTCAAGTGTGTTTTTCTTTCATTGATAATCCAAACCAGGTAATCTTGACAGTAGCTAAAATTTTAATAAATGATGGACCTCTTGTTGGTTTTATTTAAGGGTGAAACCATCTCAAAGCTTGGTGTCCACAGTCATCTGAATGTCTGGCTTACGTTTAATAGCTACGTGATCTTCCTACATCGCTACTCCTATGTATAGAATTACTCGTTATTTCTTTAAGATGGACAACTCATCATATGAAAAGAGTAAAGCCAAAGTTCTGTGAAATTTAAGATGGCAGACAAATGGTGCCCAGGAGTCATTTTTCTGTATCTTTACTCTTCCATCTCTGTTTCTTCTTCTTGGAAACCTTACTAGAAATGCTACTTTTATAGGAAAGATGATTATTACAAAGGCCAAATGCTTTCATATGAGATCTTGTCCAACGTAACTGTGGCTTCTTGGTGACGGCATCTCACATTCGTTGCCGAGTGTGGAGAACTGAGATACGCCTGGAGGAAGGAACACTGGCCGGGGACAAGAGCCAAGCTCTCCAACGGCAGGTTCCTTTCCTGAAGAGGGCGGGCCCCAGGGCTCATTTGAAGGAGGCCCTCACCACCCTGCCCTTGAGGGGCTGTGGAGGGCGCCAGTTCCTCACCAGGGGCACCGGGGGCTCGTTCTCGGCGCTGGAGAAGAGGCTACGCAGCTTGGCCACCTGCAAGGGACAACAGAAGACAATGACGTTCAGACCAAGTGGACACATTATGGGTGAGACAAAGCGTTAGAGATCGCTGGCTTTTTAAATAGGCCAAGCAAACCACAAAACCTGTCTCCAGTGTTCATTCCAGAGTTACTCAGTTACTCAGTTCCTAAACAACAGAAACCTTCTCTTTATTAGTAAAAATGCCTTTCTTCCTTTTATACAGGATTACCGTACCCTCTGGTCAAAATCTTTGCCTCCAGAATCCTGACACAATTATTTTAATTTGAGGGGTCAGTATGACTTATACACTTTATGTAGGAGGGGATGACAATATCGGCACAAATAATAAACTGAATTAGCCTTCATTGTATAAGTTCATGGAGTCATTTGTTTTTTTTAAAGAGCAGAAAGAAATTAGAGGCATGCTACATTTTAAATTTTAAGAACTGACTTTTTTCTTAAGACAGAATTTAGGGAATTCTCATCAGTAACGCTATATTTCTAAGTTAAAATGTTTTTTAGCTTTTCTCCTTAAGAAAAGTCCATTCCTCTTTCAAAATATTTATGCTAGTGAACCTGACTGTTAAATCTGGTCTTTTGGTAAAAATGAGCATATATACTTGAGTCCAGCACTGGCGGAGATTTGAAAGCTGCCGTCTTAAGTAACAGAGACGAACTGGTGAACTGATTTTATCATCAGAGCAGATATTCACCATCTAGGGGGTGAGTCACTTGTGTTGTCCGCTTGCTTTCATTTGTCTTTCTCCATGTCCCTACCCACATATTTTCGCCCAGCCTTCCCTTGAAAGTCTCTTTAACAAATGTTGCAAGGACATTCTTTAGACGAACCCCAAGGAGGCCTGAGCTGTGAGGTCAAGAAGTATTGGAAGCAGGCAGACCGGAGCTGGAATCTCAGATCCTGCACTTGGCTGTGTGATCATGTGCAAATTACTTACCCTTTCTGAGCCTCAACTTACTTATCTATAAAACTGGAGAAACAGGACACACCTCACAAGGATGTCAAATCCCTTGATTAGAACGCTTCTCCCCAGGCCCATGTTTTCCACCCCGTCTCCTAACCAGTGCTGGGTGTTTGGAGGTCCTCCAAATGAACAAAGACTAACTCATAGTAATCTAAACCTTTAAGTGTTTCTAGAGCACAAACTCAGTCATTGATAGCATCACAACCACCTTAAAATGATTCACATTTATCTCGGTACCCTTTGGAAGTCAAGTTTTAGAAAGGGGAACAGGCTGGCTGTAATTAACCAGGGCAAACTATGAACTCTCTGGTCGGATTGCTGTAGGGTCAGCATCCACGCAACAGCCATAGATTTTCAGTGTAGCATCGGTATCTTCTGCAGCCAGCCAGCGATGTGAGCCTGCCTCGTTGCAGGGCTGGGTGGCTGCACGTACCTGGTCGGAGCTCACGGTGATGGGCTCCTTGAGCAGCAGCCACACGATGCACTCCTCGCACGGCGGCGTGGTGAAGGAGCCGCGATAGGTCCAGTAGTCACGGCAGGTGGGGAAGAGGCAGGACGGGTCGAAGTTCGTGAAGGGTGCCTCCTTGCCCTGGAGAGAGGGGGCCAGGTGGGGAGTGGTCACATGCACGCCGCCCACCCGGGGTCCCACCCTCTGTGAGAGAGGACTTCCAATGCCAGAGAAAACAGAACTTTAGAGCGAGGGGCATGCCTTTCAGAAATAAAGGGCGGGGGGCGGGGGAAGCTGGTTTGCATGTTACGACTTTGGCACAGTCACTGTAATATTTTATTCCTTATTAACTGTCGGTAGAACTACAATTCTATCACTTCTCAAGAAAAGGAGAAACTCATATCTACACTGTAAGAGAAATATTTCATGTAAGTTAATGCTCTGGTCCTTGACGATAAAAAACAGGCTCGCATTTTTATTGAATATTATACTGAATACTTAACTTTCTCTGGTGGTACAACTTAATAGCATTTACTTAGAACAGTCCCAAAGACAATTAAAATGAGTCTATTAACTAGAAGAGTCTACCGTTAAGATTTAAAATAAATAGATGCCAACCAGGAGCGAAGGGGCAACACCAGGATCCAAACATTTAGTACGTCTGCAAGTGTGTGCGCGTCTGTGTGTGTTGGAGGGGTGACCACTTCTCTCTCATCCACTTTATTAAGAAAGTCAGATAATTATCTGACAAGCTGACTGTGAGGATTATACAAACTGACGTGTGTGAAATTGCTCTAAAGACTAAAAACCATACACATATACATATAAATGTGATAGCATTTGTTTTTCTATGTATGCTTAGCATAGTCATCGCGCTTAGTAACAGGTTTTAGGTGAAAGAAATACACTGGAAAATGTAAAAAGAAAAAACTGACATACCCTGCTTTATGCTCTAGGAGGGAAAATACTTTTTTGTTTACCTTTGTCTTAATTTTGTCCAGAGCATCAAGGAAAAGCTGGAACTCGCCTTTCTCACGTCCTATCTGTAAGAAAACAGAAAACCAATAATTCTATTTTCCCCTTCTCCATAATTTAGGATTGTCTCAAAAACTGATTTTGATCCATCCATCTGAAACTAGCGTTTATAAATCTGCCAGAATATCTTGTAGGAAGCAAAAACCTAAGTTTATTTCCCCCTCCAAGATTTTAAAGTATGTATTTTCTGAACTAAACTTGGACTCCAGGCCTCTGAAGTACAAAACCAAAAAACTACATGTTGATTTACTTCTGTGTTCTTGACCTCGCCTGCAAGGTCATTTACCTTTTTCAAAAATAGAATTAGCTAAGATGGATTCAATGTATCTAAAACTAAACTCGCTGTCTTTACGCTCAGACCCACTCCACTTTCTGTTGTGTTCAAGCACTGAAAATGACCCAGTGAATTCAGAACATAAAACAGATTACGTCATTCAAAAAGAAAGAAGCTAGATTTTCACCTCTGGTTTAAAATCTAGATTATGTTACCACTAAATTCATGTGTTAATGACACTAAGTCCTCTTTAAACCAAGGCTGGCTCAACTACAAACACATTCCATGTGCTATCTCAGCCTGGGATCATGTGAGTGGTGGCCACCCTAAGCCGAGGGACGTCCAGCCAGCGACGTGGCATCACAGTGGTTCCCAGCATTGGCTTTTCTGGTTTCCAGTGCAACTGAACAGTGGTGGCAAAGGATAATGAACAATGCTGCCCTTGCCCTCAGCACCACCACCATAAGCTCCTTTTCCACTGCCCTGCACACACACACTCACACTCACTCATATGTACATCTTACACCTTGAGAAAATTTAGAAGTGCTAGGGGTAGTGCATTTTTAAGGAAGAGTAAAACATTGGAGCTGAGCTTGGCAGAAATATCTTGAGTAGTTGAATGAACACTGAAATTCGTTCCTCTCTCCCTTTTAAATAAAAGGAGGGAGTGAAACTCATGCTATCTAAGCAGGGATAAGGAATTAAATTTTGAAAGAGAAAATATGGTCATTTCTTTACCTTACCTTCAGAAAAACGCCAACCACAGCTATCCCATCAGGCTGCTTCAGGGCTCCTCCGTAAGTGTTGTACTTTGGGTTCCAGTGAACCAGGTGAAGCTGAAACCACAGAATACAGGTCATGAGTTCAAGTCCCAGAATAAGGAAATAAGTATAGAATTATTCACCATAAACCCATTAATTGCACAGTCTATGGTCAATGACCACTCTCGTGAAGTTGACAGAATTCTAAATATTGACATGCAACATCTTGGTGACGTTTTTTAACAGTTTAAATAAAAAAAAGTATAAAATTATGTTACTAGATTTAGCACTTTGTAATAAGCAGTCATTGAAAACTGAACTTTTGTTCAACCAATTCAAAATATTGCTTGTAGTTTTGTATAACATTACCTCTTCTGCTGACTAAATCAAACAGTGAAACACAGACCTGTAAACAGGAATCTGCTGACATCCTGAAGTCACAGTTAATTGGGAGATAGGAGAGAAAAAAGAAGGGGAAAAATTCTTGGGTGTTTTCATATCTACCTCCCTTTCAGCAGCCAGTGCTCCAGAAGCCGGAGGTAACCTTATCTTACTTTAGAACAAGACGCAAGTTAAATCAGTCAAATTTCCCATACTGAGTTACGTGGAGAATACAACAGTTCACAGCAGTTAAAAAAATATTTTATTCAAGATCAAAAGTGTGAGCTAATCCCATGTGTAAAGGGCACACTGCCAGCCTTGCCCACGTTTGTAAGAGATATACTAAACTTTCCCCATCTGCAGGGGAAGACGTCTAGAGGGCGTTCTCCATAATTAATTTAGCCTGTCCCTGGCTTTCTATATGGGCTGTAGAGAAACAGAATGATCACAGTGAAGTGCTTTGGGTCTCCTGGAGTTTGGTTTAACCAATGTTTAAGCTGCCCCATGATTCTGTCCACAAGTGCCTTCAAGGGTCCTGTGGCGGCTCCTGCGTTGACCAGAGCCTGCCCTTGGAAAAGAGGGGGCAGTAAAAATGGAACGATCCTAGCCTCCAGGGCATCTGTCACTCCCATAGGCTCGGCTTTATAAAGAGAACAGGCAGGAGGTTTGTCTTATTTCCTTATAATTTGATGCTTTGACCTGAGCTACAAATCATTCTTTTCTTGATGGAGTTAACTGAGACAGAGAATAGTATTTGCTTATATTAAATTGTGTGTGTATCCATATCTACATCTATCTAGTATCTCTCTATCTAGGTGTGTGTGTATAAATACATACGTATTTATAATCACACAGACACACGTATATGTATGGACACTCCTCATTAAGAGACAAGCACATGAGCATTATCCAGAATTACTAAATGCTATTTTTAAAGCTCCACGTTCTCATAAAAGAGGCAGCTTAGGGCGCTGGACAAGAGGATGAACTCTGAGGCCAGTCTGCATAAGATAGAGCTGTGTGACTTTGTTATGTAACTTTGCTGTGCCTCAATCTCCTCATCTGTAACCTATCTCATAGCGTTGCTGAGAGGAGGAAATAAGTTCATTCTTGTGAGCACTTAATACGTGTTAGCCATCCTCATCTTTTCTGTTCCATTTAGGACCCTGGCCTTTTCCTTGTATTGAGCTGCTATCTAGTTTCTTACTACAACCTTAACAGTCTTCATGCATGACACTAACTCCCCTACACTCTCTTAACTTTCTAGCCTGGGATGTTTGGCAGCTTCAGCTTATGCTAAAACCACTACAGCTCTTTGCACAACTACAGGCTGGAAGCAAAAGCAGCTGATGCTGTCTTGTCGTTATTTTTCAGTTTTCTGTTTTCCCTGTGTAAGACTCAGAATGGATTAGGGCGGTTCCTCCTACCTCCGCTGCGTACTTGACTCCATCCACCGTGTGCTCAGAGCCGTGATCGTCCGAGGAGCCCCAGTGGAGATGGAACTGGCGAAGCCGGTAGGGTGCAGTGAGGGGACCCCCTCTCAGCACTGTGATGCAGAGATGCCAGGTCAACAGCAAACTCACACCTCTTTACAGAGCCCTACTTTCAACAGGTGCCCTTACACCCAAGGTTGATGGGCAAAGGTGCAGTCTGCCGGGCAAATGGTGCCATTCTCAAGCATATCAGTCTCCTCCTCACAAAATACAGTCTCAGGATATATCAAAATAGATGACTTCTCTTTTCCGTCTTTCTTATTTTGCCTGCTCATTTCATTATTTTTAAAACGTCAACTTACCATTTATGAAAATAAAATTAAAACAACAGGTGGGTCGTAAGGATGTAGACAACCAAAGAATGGGTCAGTCATGTGGTGCAAGGGGAAGAACGTGACAGTTGACAGCCAGACAGAACTAGGTTCCAATCCTGGCCCCACCCCTCCCTAGTTGTGTGACCTCAGGCAAGTTGCTAAACTTCTCTGAACCAGTTTTTGCATCCCTATGAAGGTGATAATAATACCAACCTTTCAGAGCTGCTGTGAGGATTAAATGAGATTAAGGATTTGGAGTGTTTATCACAGTACCCAGCACAGCAATCACAGAGCAAATGTGAATTCTTGCTCCATGTCTTGCCTCCAACTACACTTTTCTCCAAGACTAACAGCAAGAGCCTTCATCCACATCTAATTGAAATTGTGTCTATTCAAATGAGATGAAATGGAAAACTCAGAATTTTCCCCGGGAGTCAATCAGTGTGGACAGCTAGACTAGATCATTCTTGATAGCATTAATTTAAGCTTCTTGTCCAAACACCTCAACCCATCACTTAATGTGGTTTCAGTTCATTCCGCCTGGGAGAAGTGATGTGGGGGTTCAACTATTTTCTAAAGGGTCTTGGAAACTATGCAGAAACCCTAAAATCAAGACGTAGCAGTATAAGCTGGATCAAAGGGGAGCTATTGGAGAAAGGACTGATCAACTATAGGTGCTGAAATGGCACAGTGAGGGCCACAGGTTTAAAACAGTAGAGCTGGGCTGGTACGAGCTCGGTCATGAGGAATGCGTGGTCTAGTTCACTGCATTCTTCCTGCCCAACCACCAGGAACTGTTATTATCTGGACACATGAGTCTAATTTATTAGGATAAACCATACGAAACTGGCAATCTGCAACCACTGTTGCTTGCAAAAAATGGCATTTTCATGTGATCCAGCCTAATAGGTACTGTTTAACCTTCAAAATGGAACTTGATTTAAATGCAGGAGGGAGAAAAAAGTTAACAGATAACAATATGAGATTATTGTTTAAGAAAATACAAATTTCTATGATATTCCCTACTTGGAACCTCCTAGTAGCTAAGAATTAGGCCTCTGTTACTCTTTACTACAACATCATTGAAAATATTCATTTATGTACATCAATAAGGAGAATTTTAACTTTTTAACAAATGTGGCTATAAGAAAATGTATTATTGTACCTCAAGGACAAAAATATTAAAGGCAGATTCTTTCTTACCTCACTTAACAATGAAATAAAGCATTTCTAATTAGCCTTCTTTTGTTTCCCTGATTTATTTAATGGTATAGATGAAATAAAGAGGTTTTTTTAAACATGATTTTTCATTTTCACACAAGAACAAATCCCTCCTCAAGAAGAAACCCTCACCAGCAGGATTAACCGGATGACCCCTGGAAGCACTGAAGGCAAGTCTTTTTCACTCATATAATTGGCCCTATTCTCACCCCTCGATTGGCCCCCACACATAACAGGGGAGGAAGTGCCGACTTTGTTTCTCTGCTATGTTCCTTGCTTTGTAGAATGGAATCTCTGCCCCACTTGGGAATGGGAGCCTTGCTCTCCAGACTGCGGTCAAGAAGCACAAGAACCCTCAGGTGTAGGCCAGCACTTCCCTACCAAGCTCCCTCTCAGGAATACATTGCCAATGTTTAGCTTGAGCATGGGGCCGTTCAGCAGCAGCAAAGTGACCAAGGTTAGAGAGCGAGATGTTCTTCTTCAATACAAAATATAATTCTGCACGCCTAGAGCAAAGTCAACTGTCATCTCCGTTTTCAGAGATGAAGTATCCTGTCTTCCCACTAATTCTGCTGCTGTGTCCTAAATCACACTTTGCCAATTTAGATGCTGAAAATGTCCACGTGCCTCGACCTGAGCGGCATACTTACTTGACCTATCATAAGTATCATCAAACACAACCCTGCAGGTCCTCCCGTTGTTCAGGATGGTCTTGGCAGAGCCCGGGTCATAAGACGCTGTCCATGCCTTCAGAGAAGGGTCATGATTGATGTCTTTAGTATGCAGTTCGATTGGCGACTGGTTGTCTCCCTTGGCAATCGGGTAAAATTCATGCCAGTGGTCAGGACCTAGGAAATCAAGTTGGGGGTCTTCATTTATTTGGTGGCACCATCCAAGCCCTCTTTCTAATTGACAAAACTAGCAAAATATACAGAAGCTAGAGAGCGGTTATGAAGAGGTCTTGGATTTCAGGTTGGGCAATACAAGGCTCAGTGTTTAAGACCCGTTCCTAGTTTTGTGAACGGTGTACCCGGGGACTGTATTTAACTCAGTGTCTTCCCTTTCTTGCTCTACAAGACAGGCTCAAAGGCTTACTTCTGAAATGGACTTCATCACACGTTTTACCAATGCCATGTTCTATCGTACAGCTGGAATAAAATAACACTGGCCCCGTGTGGCTTCCACAGCACACCCGTATTCCTTTCCCACGGGTTAGGCAGAAGCGCAGGCAGACCCGGGCTGCTTAGACCTGTAACACCAGGCTCAGAGAGGTTAAGCGCCTGCCCAGCATGAGGGAGCAAGCAACCATCCGAACCGGACCTCAGGCGGTCTGACGTCTCAGTCAGAGGCAGTGTGATCTGGGACAAGTTAATGAGCCTCTCTGTGCTTCAGTTTCCTCCAATGCAAGTAATGACAGCTCCGACCCAGGGAGAACGGAATGAGATAGAGATAAAGGGTCAGCAGCGTCTGGCACTTGGGAAGCGCTCTGGAAAGGTTAGTTCCACGCACTCCGCGCCCGCGTTTCCCCAGGCCCTCCCTGGAGCTGCCCGCTTCTGAGCAAGGCCAGGGCGCCCCCGCCTGCGCTCACCGTTGTGGTCGGCGTAGCCCCACTCCTTGGCCATGGTCTTCTTGGTGCGCACTGGACGGCGGCGGCTCCTCGTCCCGGGAGTCGTGCAGCGTCCCCGCTAGCCCGCGCCTTTTATATAGGTCCCCCCCAAGCTGCTTGGCCTTATTAGGTCAGCGAGGGTGGGGCGGGGGGCTCAACTGGATTGGGGTGGTATTTTGGAGGCGGGGTGGGGAAAGCCAATGAATTCCAAGAGCTGGACAGCTGTCGGGTGGGGGGGAGGTGGGCCGAGGGCCCCGTCTTCCCCCCTCCCCGCGCGCTCCCTGGCACCGGGCTCCTGGCCTTCCACCTCGCCCTCCCGTCTTCCAAGCCGCAGGGCTTTCTCACGAGTGGCGCCGACGGGCAGAAATGCTGGCGACTTTCGCCTCGTCCTCCCGCCCTCCTCCGTGCATTTTTTTTTCCCCCCGCGGGGGATGGGGTGTTGCAGGCGTGCTCAGCCACCAACTAAACTCTGCACCCCGGCAGCGCTTGCAGCCTCGCTTAGAAGTTGCTTTTAGCCAGGCTGGCGGTCTGGCTGCGGTCTCTGGACGCTTCTGCGAGTTGATTTCGCTCCAGCGATCCGGTTACGGGGGCTGGAAAGAACACGTCTGTTTGCCTGACCCCTGTGTGACTCCCTTGCAGGCGACTTTTAAACTCCCAGGAGCGAAGGATGGGAAGAACGAGGCCGGGAGGGCATGTTCTCTAACTGGGTTATCCATAAGGAAATCGACAATGCCCTGTCCTTGGAACCGCACCCGGCGGCATTTCCCAACCCAGCGGGTCCCTTTGGTCTGCAGGACGCCCGGGGCTGGAGCTCAGAGAGCTCCGGGAATCCATCGGGAGAGGTCTGGATCCCAGGTTCACGCAGAGCGGGAGGTCGGCCAGATTCACCCCTACTCCGTGAGCTGTATCTCTGCTCACGAAAAGTTGAGAATATTTTGGAGTGTTGGCGGGCCACGAACATAAAATGAGCCATACTGTTTAAAACGTATGACCTCACTTTCCAAGACATAATGAAAGACAGGGAGGAAAGTAAGAGGAAAGGGTTTCCAGAATTGCTTTTTATGTTTCTCCCTATCCCAAGTTGTTTCATATAATATAATGAACCATGCAAAAGGAGAACGGAACTGGCATGTGCAGTCTGTGCATGTCAGAGATATATTTTTAATGTCTGGTTACGGCTCACATTGAAGGAGCCCGTGTAATAGGTGTTTATAATTCTAAGAGTATATTGGAAAATTTCTTCTTCATTCTGGAGTCATTAATAATTTTATTAAAAAAAAGCAAAGAAAGATAAATCTAATTTCAGTGCTATCTTGAACAAGGCTGCAATATGCATTTCCTTAATTACTTTGTCTTTTATGGATGCTAGTAGTTTGTGTTTGGGGGTCACAAAACTTGCAAAGGAAATCTCTCATCATGGTAAAGATAGCTCATCCCCAAGGCATGTGGAACGAGTGACCACACTCATAACCTGGACGCCAGGAGAGTCACTCCCCAGGGTATTTTTGTGACCAGGGATTATTTGCTCCGCACAATAGCAGTGTGGAATCAAGAACGGAGATAGTTCGGAAAATCCAAGCAAACCCAGCAAAGCAAACGCCCTCAGACTCTGAGCTCAGATTTGTCGGCGTTGGATCGGAAAGCCAACTGAGTTGGGTTGTCTGGGCCGGTTTCCTGCTCCACAGACATAGTGTGGTCCTGTAGTTGGTCGTTAACGGAGGTGTTTTGCATTTCTTATTCAGTGCATGATTATGTGTATTAGTAAACTATCATCTTGTTCTAATTCATTAAATTGCTACAATCTATCTCTCTTTTTCTGGTGTGTGTGGTTAGAAGATTGGTAACTAAATTTTGTGTTATTTGGCATAGTAGGAATACAGATGAAGTGTTTAATAAAGTCTTTTTACCAAGCAAGGCCAACAATCTAGGAATTCATCATATTGTTAATGTTTTTGCATAGAAAGAATTTTAAAAGTGGGTTATTTATCCTTAATTAAAATAAATAAAAGGCTGTGCACAGTGAGTAAATAATAAAGACTGTGCACAATGACACATAATTTCAAATAAAACTAGGTGGAGGGGCCGGCCCCACAGCCAAGTGGTTAAGTTTGCGTGCTCCACTTCAGCAGCCCAGGGTTTCCCTGGTTGGGATCCTGGGTGCAAACATGGCACTGCTCGTCAGGCCATGGTGAGGCAGCGTCCCACATAGCACAACCAGAAGGACCTACAACTAGAATATACAACCGAGTTCTGGGGGCCTTGGGGGAGAAGAAGGAAAAAAAGAAAGAAAGAAGATTGGCGACAGATGTTAGCCCAGGGCCAATCCTTAAAAAAAAAAAAAAAACAAGGTAGAATTTGCAAAGTGAAATTTTTAATAGTTTTAGGTGTGTGGTCTTGAAAAATGATTGGAGTTTTTATTGTACTTTCTTACAAGAAAGCTTAAAAAAATGGAATTTCAAGACGATTTCTATCAAATCACGTCATTTCAGATCATATTTTTCAGAAATCGTAGATTAATCACCTGCATCTTAATTGATTGCATCCAGCATGTTTGTCTATAAATTCCAAAATTCTCCTGTCAACAGAGCAGGGAGATAATTCTAAGTCATGCTTAAGACTGAGATTTCTGGAGTTGGCTTAAAAAGGAAAACTGTTAAGTATATACTGAGACAAAGATGCCAAGGAAAGAGCTGGAATGATTAACGATAAATTATCTCCTGGTGTGCTGACAGCTTTTCTCCCACTGCCGTTATTGGAAAGTTGATGTATCAGACAATTTGTAGGATTTTTTCCCCAAAATTAGTCTGCTCATACAGAGAAACAAGCACACAAAAGAGAGAGAGAAAGAGAGAATAGAGTAACCAAGGAGGGTACTTTGGGTAAACAAAAGTTATAGTGGGAGGGAGGGAGTGAATGTGGAAGTTTCAACTAGGTTCTATGTTAAAATTATAAACTTAGAACATCTAAGGTGGTAAAACTTAAGCATATTTTTGCTCCTGTTTTGGCATTTTGTTTTGCAACATACCAGGTAATATAACTAAGTCAAATCTTCTACAAGCTGTTACCATCTGGTGTTTCTAGTGCATCGGGGAAAAATAAACAAAAAAGAATGAGAAATTGCCTGTTTTTCACCTCTGAGATCAAAACAAAAATCAGGATTTGAAATTCTGCTTCAACATTTTCTATGTCACAGAGGCACGTGTTTTCTGCTACATTTTTATTTTCATAGATCAAGTTCTGGGATAGAAATGTAAAAATGGCTAATAAAAATAAAAAATTTTAAACTAATTTATTTCACTCTCATATATAACTTTTACCTTCCTTCCTGACATTTTTTTTTTTCCTTTTCCCAAAAGTGTTGTCAGGAAGCTTGGCTCACTATGTTACGTAGGAATATGATCAGCCTGGTGACTGAGTTTGTCACTAGTGACAGCTGAGCCATTTGGGTTGGATCTTAAATTCTGGCTCATGTTCATGGCAGAGTTGTAGGAGAGCAGCCTGAGGCCTTGTCCCAACTGGTGACCTCACTAAGATGTATCGATCTGAGATAGTCACTTCATCTGAAAGTGGGAGCGTGAATCCAATGGTGAGGACTCCCCAGATCTATGCGGTAGGATCTCATCATCAGGGTTCCTAAATTCAAACTCTTTTCTTCCAAATGCAAATTCTGCTTTCAAAATATAATAATACTATCTTCACTGGAGGAAAACTCATTAATCAAACTTTATGATACCTTTTCTTAGGATCGAATTTAGATGACCAAGTCTAATTTTCCATAACTTTATGATAGTATGTGCTTATAAAATTAACAAGTGGAGTTGTGTTTTGTTTTGACATTTCATAGCCTTTAGGTGGCCGTTTGCCTAAACTTTTCTTTGACCTCAGACGCCTCACCTGTGAAATGAAGAGAATAATGGCTGCCTCACAGGGTTCTCATGAAGCTCAAATGAGATGATATGGTAAAGCACTGACCACAGCGTAGGCTAGTGTATTTGGCACTCAGCAAAGTTAGTCCTCTTCTCCGGCTTTGTTCATTTTATCCAACTCCTCTCTGGATAGTCACCCACCCTAAATAATCCTCGTTCCTTTTTAGTCATAAACAATGCCTTCTCTGCATGTCACAGAGCACAGGTGCTAACCCGCAGACACCGCTTAGATGAAGGACACAGTCGGCTTGTGTTAGAGAAAATTGATACCCATAGCATGCACCCTTTCCTTTGACTGTTTTGAGCTGCTCAGTGCAATCATCAGCGGACCCTTCCCACAGTGGGAGTCCAAGCAAACCTTTTTAACCATCTGTGACAAAAGGCATTAATCTAATATAGCAAAATTAACTGAAACTCTAGGTACTGTGATAAGAACTAAAAATAATACAGTTCCTACAAGGCTGAACACTTCTTTAGTGTATTATTTCATAAAGGAGTTTTTAAAAGTGAGATTCAAACTCTTCAAAATGGCCTTCAGGGGTCTTCAGAAGTCCACCCTCCCTGCCTTTCAGCCTATCCCAGCCTTTCCTTCCAGATTTGCCCACCCCCTGCCTCCGCCTCAGAGCGCCCTTCATTCCCACTTTATTCTTCCCCCCCCTCCCCGTGCCTTTTCACACTCCGTTCCCTTTGGCTCCCGTTGTCCTTTCCACCCTCTATCCCTGATAAAGCCAAACTGTTTATATCAATGATTGCGTAGACTGTGGAGTGAGTGTTGATGTAAGATTTCACACTGAAAAGGCATGTATTCACTTAAGGTCAGTTCTCTGTTCAGTCTGCTTTCTTTTCCTCCCTGCTGCCATTCTAATTCAAGGCCAAGCCACTGTTAGAGTTGCAGTGACTCATTTTTTGTGTTATTATTGTTTGTTCTGGGGGTGGGGGAAGGGGCACTGTTTCCAGTATAATGTAAATTATTTTGCTTCCCTGGGAAAAATCAAGCACCAAGCTCATGTCTATAGGAGCTAGAAAAATCTCAATTCCACTTCTTCCTAGACTGGTCAGGTAACGTCTCAGAATAATAATAACTTCCCTG